TCGTGTACGTTCAGGATCTCGCGGTTAGTGTTTTTTTTAAAAGATGCGCCACGAAATATTCTACAAAATCATACCTAAACTTTAATTTTAGAACTTTAATCAAGGAAACTACGTAAATTATACGAAAAAAATGAAAACTTTGTATAGTTGATATTTTTTCGACTTGACTTTTTTCTTCAGCAATTATTCACGCAAAAGAGTGTAGCAAAAGTGAGAACTCAGTTCTTTTTGTACTTCTGAACATGCTATTTCCTCTTGCCTGTGAAAAATGTTTTTTAGAACAGATGGTGGGCTGGAGAACTAAGTTTCAAAAATTTTTCCTCATTTTCAGCAATGTGCCGAAGTAAGAAATGGAAAATCTGATCGATGTTTTGATTTCAGAATTAGTAATAGAAAAGCAATCATTCCTGATCAAAACAAAACAAACCCGATCGAAAAAGCGTTTGTTTTATTGAAGTTACGGGACTTTTACTCAAAGCACTGCTACACCCAGAATTTAATCATTATGACGCACTCGATAGAAACTTCCATAGTTCTACAGTCAATAATCGTCATACAGAATATCAGTCGTACACATCAATTCCATTTTAGATGAACATTAGTTTGGTATATAATAAATTTTTATATCATCTGTAGTTTCAGCTCTATCCTCCCGGAAAAATATTATTTCCAACCGTGTAGAACCGATTGTTAACTCACAATGAGCGTTTGTTCATCATCTTCATCTTGTGCCCTAAATTCCATTTGTGAGTGCAGTGCCATATTCTTCTCATCGCCATTTTCACAAGAACCTGCGTCAGCATCTTCCTCATCGTCGCTCTCGCGTTCATGTGCTTGTTCCACAGGAAATTTTTGTTCTTTTGATTGTTGTTTTCTCGTTCCATTAGACCATTTATAATCTGGATTTTGTTTCGAGTGTTCTTGTCTAAGAGACTTTGCTAATAGCTTGTACTTATCTCGTTCTTTTTTCGTCAGTGTATACCATTTTTCTCCAAGTATCTTACTAACCGTACGATTATCCCGATTTGGATGTTCTAAATGCATTAATGGTCGTTGTTCTTTACAAAATAACATGAACGAATTCATGGGACGACGGATATACGATTTATTTTGAGTATTGTTGGTATGTGATGATAAATTTCGAGGACGGAGAGAACGAGATGTATCTTGTTGTATTGACGAAGTAGATTGTGGTAATTTATTTTCTGTGTATAAACATTGATTATTCGAATTATTTTGTGACTGTTGTCGTTCGATCAATTGATGTTGAGAAGAAGGTGATTCCTGTTGTTGAGGGTTAAAACGAGGTGAATTACACCTTTCCGGAAATACATTATCGTCGTCCTCACTATCTTCGTCTAAAAAAAAAGAGAGAAATATCTTAGTAACTTTTATTTATTGTCGACCATCAGTGAGCACTCGAAATGTTCACAAAATGATTTAATCTTACTATTTGCTTGTCGATGAACTTTTGATATTGTTGTATTAACTTTAATTGAAATTTTTGGTAAAATCTCTGGCCAATTCACAATATTACTCATACCATTATCTAAATAACAACAAACATAAAAGGAACATTAAATCACGTTGTTAGTCGTTTGAAAACGTAAACTAGTGTAAAATAATACCTGAAATATCGACTGTTCTGCTTATATCATGAGCTCGATGTCCTTCATCATTATCATCCTGACTTGTTGGCACTTTAAAACAGATTAAAACTTTAGTTAATGCATTTAGTCACAGTCATAGTTTATTTCATTCACGTGCAATGATGAATAAAAAATTCAAAAACTTCACTTTTAAGAAGGATATATGTTTACAATTGCAATGGTAGAAAATGAATGATAATACAAGAGTTTTAAATAACAATTTTTAGCATTGAATATTTATGCAACAAAGGGAAGCTGTGTTGATATAATAAGCTTGAAAACTTTGTTATATTTTATATACTAACTTTCTTTATCTCTTAAAAGACTTGTAGTTTGTTGTTCTTCACCATGAAAATACTGTTGTTGATGAGCCTGTTGTTGCACAGATGGTGATCTATCTTTAATAAATAACAATCGTTGTTGTTGTTGTTTTTGTTGTTCACACGGTGATAGAGATGATGAAGACGAATGTGAATTGACTCTAGAAGTCACTGTCGATAATGAAAGTGGTGTCAATGTAATTGTAGACGGATGTGGCATAGGAGTTGCTGTTCGAGAATGTGGAGCAGAATAGGAACCACGATGTAAATTAAATGCGTTACCAGGCGGAACGAGACCAGTTGGCTTTGATGTTGTAAACAATTGTTGTAATTCTGATTGCTGATTTGGAAAAGAATTTACACGGTTAAACGATGTTTGATTAGAGTGTTGCGATGTGGTTGCAGGTGAATAATCGTAAATATGTCGTACATATTGTGGAATGGTACTAACAGGAGAGGATGAAACAGAATGATGATATGGATGGTGTCGATAACGTGGAATCAGTAATTGTGGAGGAGTGGGACGAGTTTGTTGATAAGAATTTTTATCTACAACAAAGACAACTTCAAATTTGAAGACAGCCTGATAAAAAGAGGAGCAGACACTCTTTATAGATCTATGTATTGTACATATTTCATGCGATAATACGTACGTTGCTAGTATGAAAAATATTCTTATTTTACCTTTTTGTGATAAATGTCTTGAACATAGTCCTTTTCGTTGTGATTCTTTTGGACAATTATCTTTTGAACATAGCCGTCGCCATTGTTTACCGTTAAACTTTTTTCGAATCTGATTTGGTGCTTCAACAATGTCTCCTTTTTTAAACATATTTTTATTATCTGTCTGTTGTGCATCATCTGATGGTTTTGCTATAATTTGTATATTATTTTCTAATGTTTTTTTCACATTTTCATTTGACAACTCTTCTTGTTCTCTCTCTGTTGTAATGATCGAAGTTGTTGCTGTTGCCGTTCGAATTGTGTCATCAACATTAACATTTATTAAATTTTCAGACAATGATAATGATAGTTGACGGTTTAAAGATGATGAATAATCATTAGTAGATAGAAGACGAAGACGAAAAGCTATAAAAAAACAACAACAACAACTATATATTGTACATACACAATCTTCTTTCACTAATTCGAAAAGTTTGTTCTTTACGAAATTTTGTGTATTTTATGTTGTAGATGATGCGCTACTGTGTTTTTTTTTAACAATATTGTATAGATTTACTTACCATTACTGTTCATTGTTATTAAATCATTATTCATGCTTGAGCTCTCTTCATTCACTGTGGTTCTGATTGATGATGATGACAATGATAATTTATCTGTTAAAATTAATTCTGTTGCCAAATTCCAGTCAATCGAAATTTCTAAATAATATAGAAATAAATTTAGTACATATCTCTCTAACAATAGAAAAAATATTATAATTAAATTATGTTTCTAGATAAATATACCTTCATGCCATGGTGGTAAAATTAATCTTAATGATTGTCTCGCTAATAGTACCGTTTGTTCGGTATCAATTAATTTAATTTTAAATTGTTGTTGTGTTTTATCCATAATTACACCCATAGAATATTGTGTATGTTCAATTGATAATTTACATAAAACACGTTTACCAACGTCCAAATCCGTATAAACAGGTAAATTATCTAATATAATATCGAATAATTCGTAAATATTAAGTAAATTAATATGAATTAATTCTTGAACATTTGTATTTTTTGTTTTTATTGTAACAATTGATTCATTTATTTGATAAATATGACCATGAACATAGGTAAAATTTTGATTAGAATTTGTTTTTCTAACTAAAACATTTAGATCGATCCAATCATTTAAATTACATTTACTAATATTTTCTTTTAAATTAACTATAATTGTTTCAAGTTCAGAATCTAATGACTGTGACATTGTAGACGAGATAGGTGACACTAAAATAAAAACATAACAAAATGGAATAAACATGGTTAAATGAAATTTTTTATCATAAGACTGTTATCTATATTGTGATCCGACAATTATTTATCAATAACGTCAGAAATTTTTATGTAAACTGTGAATAAAAAATAAACATTCGAAATAGTAAAGTCACTTTTTAGCCATTCATATTCATTAAATTTATAAAATAGTGAGAATCAATCAATAAAAAGTAAGTTTATTAACATAATCGAACAAAATAGTGATTAATTATACAAATTTTAATTGTCTGAATTTTCCGCATAATATTTTTATTCAACAAGCAAAAAACTTACAACTTAGTCTCTTTCTCTGCTTACTTTAACGACATGTGTGAAGATTTTTTTCTCATACAAATCGTTTTCTCTTTATTTGTACATACTATCGAATGATAAATAAAAGCCTCATATGAGCATAAGAGAAAAAGAAGAAAAAAAATTCAATAGTGTGTCGTTTGACGTTTTGCCTCCATCATGACATTTTATCATTTTATTCGGAATGACACACAAAAAAAAAAAAAAGAAAAAAAACAATAAGAAAAACAAGAGAGAAATATCTATTCCTTTTTTGTTTAAGACTCAGTAAAAATATGAAAATATGTCAGATTCTATTAATAATGATAGTGTCTCAGTTTTATAATTTTGTCCAAGAAACTGCAACATTACTTAGATTTTTATTTTCTTGCAATTTGACAAATACAAATCAATATTTTATGTGAAAAAAACAAATGAAAAAGTTAAAATTTCTGATTAATATTCTCTGATCTTTTTCTTTAAATATTATAAAACATAGTTTTTCTATTTCTTAAAGAAAATTAATTTTAGAATAACATCTAATTTGGCAACATTAAAACGACAATATTAAACATATCATGATGAAATTTTGACTAGTTCCAACGATGAAATAATACCATTTTTCAGATTTTTTTTTTCTTCTACTATTCTATTGTAGAAAATGTTTTTCACACCTAAGAAATAAGTATATTTAATATAATTGAAAAACATTTTACATAAAAAGCGATCTTTTGATACTTCACAGTATCCATCATCAGACTAATCTGACTGTCGAATTTAGATGAGAGATGATTATATATATATATATATATATATACTAGTTGAAATAGAGGAGAATAAAAATACTAGAAAAACTTAAACATAGAAAAAACTGTAATATAGAATCGAGTGACTGTTACATATTTATATTCTGGACTATTATTTTCTAGACTGTCTAATTGAATATCACTGTCTTTAATGATATAAAAAAAAGCTCGCTTTTTATGTAAAATGATTTTACAAAAATATTTTTCTATTATATTAAATATATTTAGTTTTATAGTTTTATAAGAAACGTAAAAATGTCAAAGAATATCAATATACCTAAGAAGTAGTCCATATATTAGAAAATTAATTCTAATTTCATTTAATAAAATATCTATCAATTAATATTTTATGCTAATAGTATGAATTATTACATATATCTGTCTCATATTTTATTATACTCACATTGATTATTTCCTGTTATAACATGACCATTTTGTGTTGTCTGTTCTTGATTATCCTGATTTTCACCTTTCTCCTCTGAATTTTCATGACTAGCTAACCAACGTTTTTTTAATGGTTTAGTTGATGTCGATGTCGTGGTTGTTGTTGTGCATGATTGTGTTTGTTGTGGGTGAGATAATAATCCTATTTGTTGTGAAGAAAAATGTTGTGTAGATGATGCATTATCTAATAATGAAAATGAATTATTGTATTTCCTATTATTGTTGCTGTTTAGTTTCTGATGATGATTATTGTTATCATCGATAGAACATTGTCTTAGATCTCCACCACCACCACCACCACTACCTTTTAACCGTTTATTTCGATCTGATGAAGAATAATCTCCTCCATCTCTATCCGTAAAACAATTATTATTTTCAACAAATTCATTTGTTTGTTTTCTCGTTGAATTCCGTGTAATTTGTATTGAATGTTTTGATACAGACTGTGATTGTTGTTGTTTTGAATTTAAATTCGATGAAGAGGCGGAAGATGGTATAGATGCGTGTCGAGTTAGCATTTATATGAGATAAGTAAATTTATAAAATTCGTCAAAATTGAATAGTTGAACTAAAATATAAACAAATGAAAAATAAAAATAAATGATCCAAGAGAGAATGTCTGTCATAATAATCAATTAGTTAAAAAATTACTCATCATTGTATATAAATCTGTAAACAAACAATCTCTAGACTACTCTAGACTTCTCATATATACGAAAGAATAAGAATGATAATTTTATTAAAAATTATTACTCAATACTTGTTTTAAAAGATAAAAAATTCTTTGGATAGTGGATAGTGAGAGATATTCAAACCATATCAAAATAATGTACATAAATAAATTGTTATTCAATCGTGAATGAACATGATTAGTACAGTAGACAGTGTATGTACACGATCGCATTTATCAATATTTGATAGATCTTTGTTAACTATGGCGTTACTTGTTTTGTTATCAACTAAATGGCAAATTGCCAACGTCTTTAACGATCAACTAATATTTTTTTCTTTGTTAAAATGAGAAGAAAAATGACGGATAACACTATCGTTTGCTAAAAGGCAATATGGTAACTAAATTGTTCTTTCTCTTTCTCTCTCGCTCTCTCACTAATAATACTATACGCTAGAAAAAGAAAAGGAAAACATACGTACACAATAGTATTTATCATTTTGCTACTTGTTAATATAAATATAATAACAATATTTATTTTGTAGTAGGATATCAACGAACCAAACCAAACGAAAAATGAGAGTAGAATAATAATGATAAATTCTAAATCTAATCGACTTGACAACAATGACAATTAATAAAACAAAAAAAAAAAAGAAGAGAAGTAGACAGATTGTGTACGTGTGCGTGTAAGTGTGATAATAATATATTGCTAACCACCGGATAATTAATAAACAACAACAACAATAATAATAATAATAATAATAATAATAATAATGTAAATATAAAGAAAAATGGAATGCAGAGATAGACAGAAAGAAACGTAGAAGAAAAAAAAATGAAATGTAAATTTTAACTAAAAAACAACAAATAATAATGGGATATCCATGTCATCTTCTCCACGGTTGCTTCCTCTAGAAAATTAATCTATAATATTATCTAGAACAAATACTTATAAAGGTAATCGAGTACATAAGTATAAAAGAGAAAGTGGTATTGATGATGATTTATGTCACAAAATACGAGTACGATAAACAATATCAATCTAAAAGAAAAACATTCAACAATAACAGTGAAGTATATAATGAATAATAAAAAAATAAAAATAGAGAAAACTTTTTAAGCGATTAGATCTTCTATTAAGAAAAAAAACGACAATTTACTGCTATTTTACATATGTGCATTGATCCCGGTGATTGAGTGATAGCTATTTATTTGATTTCTTTTCCACATGTATCTTTGGCAACTAATTCTAGATATAATTTAATCTTTTTATAACTGTCATATATAAGAAAGTAGGAGCATTTGGAATTAGATTAAGCTTTTTTACTAAAATCATTCAGCTATCTATAAATGAAACATAAATTCTGCAAAAAAAATTTGAACAAATGTCTATATTTTTACTCGTAGAGAGAGAGTGAGAGAATATTTTTTTTTAAATGTAGTTGAAATCAAATAATTTTCATTCAATTCTGTATTCTCTATTTCAATAAATAGACAGATATTATATAAGCAAGCAAGGTGAAAAAGAAAACAAAAATAAAATTATAGTTGGCTAAATAGTGAAAAAAAAAAATCAATGGCTTATCTGATAACACATTGACATTGTTAATAATCTGATAAAAAATTTTGAATTAAATTGATTGATTCATGATGTTAATCCAAAGGATTTTCCATAAACAAATTATCTAAACTGAATAAAAAGAAAAACAGAGCTTTCTTACAAGATATGCTCGGTATGTTATTGACAAATAAATTCTATTCTAGAAAGAAATTATTATACGAAAATATTGATTATCAAATATATCGAAATAAAATGTTCATCTTTCAAAGATAGGACGAACAATAAAACATAAACAATATTCTTAAAAACTTTTCTAAATAACGAATCAAGTCTATTTGAATAAGAAAATGTTCAAATTTAACCAAAACAGTTAATCTCACACTTTTCATCTTTTATAGTACAATAATAATCAACATATCACCTGGTGACCATGTGCCACAATATATATATTTTTTTCTTGCACATTGCTTTCAAATTTTTCATAAAGTTGGAGCTAAACATTTTTTTCATAAACATTGTGATCGTATGTTTTTTTTTTTGATACGTTTCGTCATCTTCTTTGCGATTACAAGAGCAAACAATTAACAACTTCATGAGAAAAATATAAGTCTTCCAAAAAACTATCGTTCTTTCACTGTTTCTTTTTCGACTGTCATAAGATGAAAATGGAAGTTGAAAAAGTATGCTCTCGTAGATGGTTTTGTTTTAAAAAGAAAGTCATAATACTCAAATTGAGCTAGAAGGTAAAAGATTTAGCCTCTTTACTTTGAAGAATAAAAGCCCATAATGTAGATAATTTGAAATGTTGAGATAGAAAATGTTTCCTTTTTTCTTAAGTTTGCCTTTAAAAACCAGAAAAATAAGAAAAGTTTTCTTCTTTCAAGAAAAGCATGACCTTGGGCTGCACGTCAAAATCTTACATAGAGGTAATAATAATCTTTAAATTACTTATTTCTTCTGTTAAAACAGTAGAGGAATGTCACAGAAAAATCAAAGTTTAATCAAAGATATTAACTGAAATGAAAATAATTTAAGAAATAGAAAAGAGATGAAAAGATAAGAATTTTCTACGAGTAAACAAGATGAAAGCAAAGGCAAAGTGTAAAGATGCAATGCAAAAGTGGTAGAATGTTATTTAGTTTCATTTGATATTATCACTACTAATTCCTAAATAATAAATTTGTGTGTTTGAAATAAAATGTACGGAATATTTTGTATATAAAATAGATCAAATACATTTAGATTGATTGAATTCAAATTTCAAAAGTTTTTCAATTTCATGCAGAATTTTGAATATACATGACATCTTACTAATAATAACACTAAAATAAAATAATAGCAGAGAAACATATGTCAAAACTTCACACGGTATTCCTTTAGCAGGTGTTCCACCTTGAATGTATGGTAACATTACAGGTGGTGTTCCCTGTACGAAAAAAGTGTTCCACCTTCTTACAGATAGAACGCAATAGATAGATTGATAGAAGTGTTCCTCTTAACAAAAAGTTGAAAAACACGGAAAATGTTCCGTTTCTAGTCTTTTCTAATAGGATTAAAGTAAATATTGATAAATCAAAGAAACTATTTTCTGTATAATTAAAATAGAAGTAATTAAGAATGATAATTTACTATCTCAATTCGTTCGCGATCAAAATTTGGCTCAAAAAAGTGATGAATATACATGCCACTGTGGCTCACCGATGGCACAAGGAAGAAGACACTCAAAGATGGTACGGCCAAGGTCTATCCGACAATGCGGTGTACTAATCGACAATGTCGAAATCAATTAAGTGTTCGTAAAAACATATTCTTCGCATTTACTGATGCATTGGGTCACCGAATTCGTCTTTTCTTGATGGTAAGACATATTTTTTTACTACGAGAAACATTGAACCCAAACCCTCTTTTGTTTATATGGGTCCCTGGATATTCGGCATTGCGCAGCCAACGGCAGAGGGATACGAGGCCCGTTTTTTCCATGTACAACGACGTGATGCTGCTACACTACTTCCAATTATCTGGAAAAATGTTTATCCTGGCACCACAATTTGGTCAGACGAATGGAAAGCTTATTGTCGTCTACAAACAACAGATGGGTACAATCAGCAAGCGGTGAACCACTTGCAAAATTTTATCGATTCACACACCGGCTGCCACACGCAACTTATCGAATCGTTATGGAGCCACGCAAAAACAAGGATTCATAGAACAATGCGAGGAACAACCTTATTAAACTCACATCTGACCGAATTCTAGTATCGTTCTGTCCATAAGTCCATGTTTTCATTTTAAATGATATTCGACATTATCGTACAAAATAATCATGAATGTGAAACATTTTTCGTGTTTTTCAACTTTTTGTTAAGAGGAATACTTCTATCAATCTATCTATTGCGTTCTATCTGTAAGAACGTGGAACACTTCTTTCGTACGGGGAACACCAGCTATAATGTCACCGTACGCAAGAAGGTGGAACACTTTTTTCTTACGGGAAACACCTGCTATAATGTCGCCGTGTCGTCTTTAACATAAGAGGTGGAACACTTTTTTCGTACGTAGAACACCACCTATAATGTTACCATACATTCACAGTGGAACATCTGCTAAAGGAATACCATTGCACACACATTATTTCAAGTTGCCATTTTCATTTTTGTACAATATTTTATAGTTCCATATTTTCAATTATCCAACAAATCAACCTTTTTTTTAAATCTAAAATGAAAAATATGAATAAAATTATTATGTATATACATTACACATACACATGAAATGATAAAATAAATAAACGAACTGTTCGAACTACACTGCATTCATGTATAAATAAAAACAAACAAAAAAAAGGTTATGAAAATATATATTCTCGTCCGCCATTACTTCTGTTGACCTCCCTGTCAAATTTTATTGAGAAAGAGAGAGCAAGAGAGAAAGAGAGAGAATTCTTCAGTTTATTTTTCTCCTTCTATGTATGTTGTACATGTAGATTATAATTTACATATCTATAGATATCTATCGACTATATATATATCATATGAAAAAATGATGGACAAAAGAAAAGACAGAAAGAAAGAAAAAAATATTTTTTTATTTTGTTTTCTTCCTTTTTGTCATATATGTGTGAGTTCAGAACGATGCGCACATGTCTAAATGTCTTTTTTTATTTCCATTCACCATAGAAGAAGAAAAGAAAAAAACACGCAAAAGAACGGGAAAAAAAAAGAGAAGAATGTGAATGAAAATAAAATCTGAATGAAAAAAAAAAAAAAAACGAAGAATGTGTGTGG